CATACATACATACATACATACATACATACATACATACATACATACATACATACATACATACATGCATACATACATACGAAACTAGCTTGGGTGCTTTTCTCCCTCCTACAGAAAACAGTTAAGATCTTCCTTTCTTCTTTTATAAATGCATTACTTGTTCACCTCTGGTAAAAACAACTCACAGCTGTTAACAACAGAAATCAAACACTTAAATCGGTAAAATCACAGCAAACGTTAAAAGTAAAGGAGAATCATCATAAGCCACTACATCTCCATGCCATGTTTTCCAAGGAAAGAAACACCCAAGAAATCTTAGAAAAATTAGAAACAGTTTAGCTAATAGGGAAAAAATACCTGATGAATGCCTCTAATCATTTGTAAGATAAAGAAGCAATAGATTAAACAAAACATAAGACAGAAACAGAATGTAAGAGTCTTATCTCATAACATGGCATTTTATGCCAGCCGTCAATTTTGACTGGTGCCAATATTTGTATTAAAGACTGCCTGTTGCAATTTACGATTGAGTAATATTACAGTACCATATGTTAATGCAATCAGTGTTGCCATTTTGTGAATTCATTTGCAGCCCCAATCTCACTAGAACATCCTGACACACACTGGCTCAATTGCAAACTAATTCTCAAAGTTGGAAGTTTCTGTATTTTAATTTGTTAGGTGTTAAGACAATGAAGCGTGCATTGTTTTTACCGTTCATACAAACATTTGACGAATATACGGGGGAAAAAACCTCAATCCCAGGGAAACCAGAATCCACTATAACATTCAGAGGGTGCTCAGATCAAGGCTGTATGATGTTGTTGTTTATTGAATTTATATTGCTGCCTATTCATATATGGTGACTCAAAGCGGCTTACAGAATATAAAATCTCATTTAAAACAATAAAACTAATAAAAAAGAATCAAATAATTTCCCAAATGCCATCACTCTGCTAAACAAATAATTCTCTCAACACTGTCTACTACTACTATTTACTAAGTCTGCATTACTATTAGTCTTCTCATCGTTCCTACCATCCATCTCTTCCCACTTATGACTGCATGACTTTATATTTGTTGCCTGTATCCTTACATATTTATATTGATATCGATTGTTTCCTGATTGCTTATTTGTACCCTATGACTATCATTAAGTGTTGTACCTTATGATGAATGTATCTTTTCTTTTTATGTACACTGAGAGTATCTACACCAAAGACAAATTCCTTGTGTGTCCAATCACAGTTGGCCAATAAAGAATTCTATTCTATTCTATTTCTATTCTATTCTATTATCACCCCCCTCCCAAGACAGCAGATCACGTGAGCCATTTAATGGGCTCCATCCCACTCTGGGTTCCCCAGGCCTGCTGGCAGAACCAGGTCTTCAGCGCCTTCTGGAAGAGTGTCAGAGCGGGGGCCATTCTAATCTCTGGCAGAATGATGTTCCAGAGAGAGGGAGCCACCCCCGAGAAGGCCCTTCTTTTGTGTTCCACCAGGTATATCTCCCTGGGGGATGGGACTCACAGCATTCCCTGCCTCCCCACTCTGATGGGTCAGGTAGAAGTGACCGGCAAGAAATGGTCACTCAGATCACCTGATCCCAAGCCATGAAGGGCTTTAAAAGGTGACAACGAGCCCTTTGAATTGCACCCGGAAGCAAATCGGCAGCCAATGCAGCTCCCGCAGGAGGGGAAATACCTGTGCCCACTGAGGTCTGCACAAAACCATGCAGGCAGTGGGGTAACCATGTTACCTATTTATTTAACTACCATCAAAAACTGGGGAGATACTTACGTTTTTTCCTGTGTTCTACTAGATCACCGGCCTGTTTTGCTGAACATTTTGCAAACCAGTTGTCCCCAAGAAGAACTGTAACCTCATTGGTGTGAACCAGTCTTCCTGGCATGAAAGCAAGTGGACCAAAGGGGACCTATCGAAGTAACAACAGAAAAAGTAAGGCAGTAAAAATAATCTACGGACAGAGATTTCACTTATGGGCAGCTCTACCTTCATGCTAATGTTTCAAAAAAAAAAAAAGGACTACAGGTACTCCTTGATTTACAATGATTCACTTAGTGACCATTAGAAGTTACGATGACAGGGACAAAAGTAGCCTATTCCCGTTTTTCACACTTACAATCGTTGCAGTATCCCCGTGGCCGCATGATGGGCGTTCAGGTGCTTGGCAACTGGCATGTATTGATGACAGTTGCATGGTCTTGGGTTTACGGGATGACCTTTTGCGACCTTCTGACCAGCCAAGTCAGTGGGGAAGCCAGATTCACTTAACAACGGTGTTACTTACTTAACGCCCGCAGTGATGCACTTAACGACTCTGGCAAGAAAGGTCTTTAAAGGGGGCAAAAAGTACTTAAGAAACAAACCGGAATTGTGGGCCGAATTGTCATCACAGGTCAAGGATCAGTTACATCTATTAGTTAAATATACTGTGCTTTCATTACTATCTTTATTATTTATTTATTTATTATTAAAATTTATATGCCACCCAATCCTGAAGGACTCCGGGTGGCTTAGAAAAGAAAAAGAGAAAGAAAAAAAAATAAGAAAAAAAAGACAGTTTAAAATCACAACATGCATTCATTCTAATCGGGGCTGGGCCTCAACAATGAGGTCAACAGCCCCAGGCCTGCCAGAACAGCCAGGTTTTAACAGCTTTCCTGAAGGCCATTAGAGTGGGTATGGTCCGGATCTCTGGGGGTAGTGGATCCCAGAGGGTCGGAGCAGCCACAGAGAAGGCTCTCCTCCAGGGGCCTGCCAGTCGACACTGTCTGGCTGA